AACCGATAGAGCATCTCTTGCATTGAACACACAAACAAAATACAAAGTTTACAAATACAGGCCGAAATTGAGAGAACCACACTCAAGTGGTCTAGATCACAATCACAAGACTAAGACATAGCTAAAGTCAACATTAGAGGGTAAAGCAATGATATACCACCGGCCCTTTACCCTTGCCAACACAATAAAACAATCATACATAATCAGATGGACCACTGATACAAATCCTAGCCCATCAACAGTGATTATTACCTATAATTGGCCTGAACCATCCTACTGCCTAAGAAGGTTTGCCAATCCCTGATAGCAGCTTGGACAATAAGATGTGCAGGCCGTTTAACTCCTTCAAATATCCATAAATTCCGGGACTTCCAAAGCCACCATAAGTTGTATGTCGAGAGTTGAATTCGGGCTTCAGAAACCTCAGATTTATCAAGTTGACGCACCTGCCACCACCAGCTTTTAAAGGATTCCTGCTTCTGTGGGCCTTCCCAACTAACTGGAGCCATCTTCCATGTATCTTGGGCAATACTACATTGGAAAAACAGATGTTCAACAGTTTCTTCCCTTTCACCACAGCGTCTGCATATTGTATCTATCTGAAATCCCCTATCTTTGAGGTTCATTGTGACTGGGAGGGAGCCATTGCAGCATTTCCATAGAAAATGCTTAATCTTCCCCATGATTTTAAGCTTCCAGCTTCTGTTCCTTACCTTCATGTCCCTACTCAAATCTGCACTTCCTTGGGCTCTATCTAACTTCAAGTATTTCTCTGTGATTAATTTTTGGTAGGTGGATTTGACAGAGAACATACCTTTGCCATTAAGAGCCCAAATCCATTTGTCCTCCTTCTTTGGATCCAAATTGCCTATGCTGAGAATCTGATCACTGATTATGGTAGGGAATGTCCTTATCACTTTGGCCTCATCCCAGTGGTATCTATCCTCTGTCATCAGATCACTTACCATTTTAATATTTCTGTCCATGCCTGGTAGTACTTCTACTGTCCTTCCCTGCATTGTTGGAATCCAGTGTTCATCCCACACACTGATTGACTTCCCATTCCTTATTTTCACCTTCATCCATTTCCCACACATTTGCAGAACAGAAATCCAACAAGGAGTTGTCCTTCCTCTGAGCCTAAAAAAGAGAAGAATTTGGATAGTATTTTGCCTTAAGCACTTTGCTAACCAAGGAGTGTGGATCAACTACAAGTCTCCAGAGATGCTTGCCTATAAGTGCCTCATTGAAAAGTTGGATATCCTTAAAACCCAAGCCTCCATGCTCTTTTGCTAATGTCAGGTTATGCCAGGCTACCCATGGAAAGCTCCTTTGATTATCTGATCCTTTCCCCCACCAAAACTGACAACAAAGTTTGGATATTTCCTTACAAATTCCAGCTGGTAGCACAAAGCAGGACATTGCATATACTGGTAATGCCTGAATGACAGCCTTTAGTAAAATTTCCTTGCCTGCAGTAGATAACCACTTATTCTTCCATTAATTTAGCATTCTACTCCTCACCACAGACAGGATATAGTCAAAAGCTTCTTTTTTTGATCTGCCAATCCCCATAGGTAGTCCCAGATACCTTGTAGATGAATGTACTTGAATTCCAGCCATTAATGCACATACCCTGTCACTGACTTCCACATGTGTATTTTTACAGAAAAATATTGTGGACTTAGATAAGTTTATCTGCTGTCCTGTGAAGTCCTTGTAAGCCTGCAGCATTCTCATGATCAGTTCTACCTGCTTCTCTTCAACTTTGCAAAATAACAAGGTGTCATCAGCAAACACGAGGTGAGTTAATGTTGGTCCTTCCCTAGATAGCTTTACTCCTTTGAAGCAACCTCTCCTGGCCTCTGTATTAATTCTGGCAGACAAAAGTTCAGAAGTTATGAGGAATAAGTAAGGGGAAAGAGGGTCCCCTTGTCTTATTCCCCTAGATGCATTAATCAAACCACACACTCTGCCATTAATATTCAATGAAAAGGAAGGATTTTGAATGCAGGCCATAACCCATTTAACAAATTGAAAGTGAAAACCCATTCTAAGCATAGTGAGTTGAATAGCTTTCCACTCTAGTCTGTCATGCTTTGGCCATGTCCAACTTTAGAGCCATAAAACCATAGTTTTTAAACCCGGCCCGGTGATCAACCCGGGCAGGTCTTCGGGTCATCGGGTCACCGGGTCAATTGTTGAACCGGATAATTAATTTTAAAACTTTTAAAATTATATATAGAGTATTTTTGTTATATAAATATACATAAAAGTAACAAAATTAAATGTTTTGTGTATAAAATTTGTATATTAAAGTGTTAATAATATGTATCTCATGATAAATATTTACCATATAAACATATATACATATTTTTATTTTAAAAAAAAATAAAAAAAAATAAAAAAAAATATAAAAAATATATATGGACCGGGTCAACCGGGTTGACCCGGCCGGGTCAATGCTCCGGGTCGGCCGGGTTTTGACCGGGTTTGACCGGGTCCTTGGTTGCCCGGTCCAAATACTCCACCCGGACCGGTTCCGGCTCCGGGTCGACCGGGTCCCGGGTCCCGGGTCGACCCGCCGGGCCGGTCCGGGTCTCAAAACACTGCATAAAACAGTTTTTACCACTCCTGTGTCTATTAAGAAAATGAAATACTTCATGCCCAATTATGACATTATACAATTATATTTCTACCAGGCAAGAAAGCAGATTGATTATCTGAAATACAAACATGCAAGCATTGCCTTAACCTCAGAGCTAATATTTTTGCCACTATTTTATAAAAAACTGAGCATAGACTGATGGGCCGGAATTGTTGCACAGATACAGAGTTAGGACATTTAAGAACCAAAGTGATTAAAGTATGCTTCCAATACCTGAGAAGTTTCCCTGAATTGAAAAAGCTTATGACTGCCGAGCATAAATCTTGCTTTATAATTGGCAAAAAATGCTGGAAAAAAAGGTCAGTCATGCCATCATCTCCTGGAGCTTTATCAGGATGAATACTGAATAGAGCTTGTTTAACATCTTCTTCTTCCACTGGGGCAATGAGCAAATTATTCATGTCTGTTGTGATTTTAGGCTCAATCAAAGGTAAGCATAAATGACCATTCTTTGTACCCTCAGATGAGTATAATTGTTCAAAATGATCTGTAATAATCTGTTCCACTTCCTGCTGGTCTTCCACCCATCTGTGACCATCCACCAACAACTTCTCTATAACATTCATTTTCCTCCTCTGTGCAACATATGCATGAAAAAATTTAGTATTACTGTCTCCCTCTTTGAACCATAGAAGCCTTGCCTTTTGCTGCCAGAATATTTCCTCAGCCACATTTGCTTCATCAAGCTCTTTCTGAAGTCTGTCCCAGGTCTCCCAATTTCTGTTCCCTCCTGCTTTCCTCATGTCCACTAACTTCATAGATAACTCTGAGATTTGGGCCTTATGTTCTGAGTTGAAAAATCTGCTCCATCTCAATAGTTCTAGTCTGGTTGTCTTAATCTTCTCCTTTACCACAAACATTGGTGTTCCTTGATTAGGTCCATTCCAAGCAGCCTGAATCACTTCTTCTACACCCTCCTTATTGATCCATCTTTTGTCAAATTTAAACCGCTTCTTGGATTTCTGTCTTCTTGTTGAAATATCTATCACCAGTTGACAATGATCAGAAGCACTCTTAAAGTAGTTAGTAAATGAAGTCTGAGGAAAACATTCTAGCCATTTAAGAGTTACAAAAGTTTTGTCCAATGCCTCTTCCACAAAACCTTCACCAGACCTGTTATTGGCCCAGGTATAAAACTCTCCTTTCACTGGAACTTCTTGAACTCCCATCTGCGCTAAAAAATTATTAAACCCAATACAGCTATTAGGAGATCTGCTTCTACCACCTCTTTTGTCATCTGGACTGCATAGGTCATTCCAATCACCGGCTATAAACCACCTCTCACCCCAAGCTGCCTTGTCTATAATTAATTGCCTCCATTGCATTTCTCTAATAGTTTTACTAGGGCTTATGTACACAAAAATTGCCCACACTGCTTCTGATATTCCTTCATAACAAATTGAACAGCTATGTAAAAGTCTATACTGGAGATCTGCAAAATAGTCATATCTTGGTCCCATAGCAAAAGAAGACCCCCACTTGTACCTTTGGCCTAGACTATATAATGTCTGTCATGGAATCCCATTTTCTTGCACACTGATATAATAAATTTTGAGGATTTTTTAACTTCGGATAGGAATATTAAACCTGGGTGGTGGAGCCTTAGTGTCTCCTTGATTTGGGGAATTGTAGAGGGCCCACCCAGACCTCTACAGTTCCACACCAGAACTAACATTGAGATGGTGAGGGCTCATTTGTTCATTTGTTAAAAAAAAAAAATTAACCGCGCTGGTTTTGATTTCACGATTTTGAAGCGAAACCGACTGTTTCGGAACCCGTTTTTGGCATCTCTATATCTATGTGTAATATTTATCAGGGGTGATTGTTTATGAATTCAACTTGTTTTTATTTGATTTGTTTTTAAATTATTGTTAATTTTGAAAAAAAGTGGTATGGTTACTTGTTAGTGGATATATTAAAATAATAAAAAATGCTACATGTACATAGTAGATGTACATAGAGGTGTACATAACACTCACATGGAGTGGGGTCCACTTAATTTTTTATTTTTGGTGGGTCCCACTAAATGTGAGTGTTATGTACACCTTTATGTACAATATTTGTACATATACCATTTCCCTAGTTAAAATTATGTGGATGGATGAATAACGAATTAAAGTTGATGTGATGTGTAAAAATGATTAGTTGATATTACTTAATTTTATTAATAATATTGAGGATAATGAGGTTGGATTAAAATTGAGTTAAATTGAGTTTTGATTGGTTTTTTGGAATTGAAACATATCACCCCTTAATTATTTTTCTGAGGAGGAAAAAAAAAAGTGGGACCATCACTCTTGTAAGAAAACAAGAAACAGATTTCCGGAGGAAAAATATAATTTAGGAAAGAAAGTTAGAATACTTTATAAATTGGAATGATGATGTCAGTAGGGTACATGCAGAAGGTGACAATAAAACAACGAACAAGAAATATTACTTCACTAGATTCACTTAAATCTCCCGTGATATTATGATGTACTATAAAGTATAACTCTTCTACTCTTCTTCACCTTTCACTGACCACTATGACTAAAAGGGTCTCCATTGAAACAAAGGAACTGAAAAATTATTCAGTTTTTTGTCTTACAAAATATTCTCCCAAATTATGAATATTTGAAAATAAAATAAAATAATTTTGATAATTTGTACTTACTTTTTATTGTTGTCGTTGGTTGCAAAATAATAAACTAATTTTGATCTCAATATTCTAAAATTTCAACCTTGTAATCAAGTCGCATCTGTTGCCATCCACTGTATTTGGCGGTTGATTTCAATAAAGCAGTACCATGTACAAACTTTGGACTCAAACTTCTAAGAAAAATTGGTATAAGACTATTTTTACATTCCATTATTCATAAACAGAAGATTTAGAAACAAATCTCAAAATAATTTAGAATGAACGACAGAACGAGAAATTAATCTTAAAATTAATGTGTTGAAGTTGAATTTCTGTAACACAAAATAGAGTTTAAGGGGAGATTGGATATGAGTTATTATTAGTATGGAAATCGAACATGAAATTGCAGAACAAAGGAACGACACGAGAGAATGAGGAAGACGAATGAAACCGAAAAATCTGAATAATGAGAAAAATTGGGTTTGTAGATGAGAGTACAACCCTTTTATATCTAGGGTTTGCGCAAAGACAAAAATGTAAAAGAGTACAATTGCCTATAGTTGTTATTTTATATAACAACAACTATAACACAAATTACTAAAATATTGAAATAACAACTTTACATAGTGATAATAGATATTTGGGAAAAATATTATTTCCAACCTATACTTTTATCTTTTTTACATTGTGCAACCTAAACTTAAATTTATAGCAAATAGTAACCCGTACTATTTGAAAATTCACAGTTTGCAACTTGAACTATGTTCCATAGCAAATAACACTCGTATTAAAAAGAACATAGTTTACAATCTTCAATTACTTTGAAGTTATAAAACATGTCGGAAACCACAAAAAATAAGAATATAAAAGATATATATATATATATATATATATATTTATATATATATTCGAGAAATAAGCTCCTACTCATGTAAATAGAGTAAAAATTTTAAGAACATAAACCCATTAATATATTTAAACAAGGAATAAAATGATGTACAATATTTTACTAACCGATTCCCGACCAATAGTCTTGTATAAATATATAGAAAACACCGAATTAATGAAGTACATAACATCTGATAAAGTTTTGTCACCTGATAAAGTATTTTTATCAAATTGAGACCCAAAAACACATCTTCCGAGAATGAGAATAATATCAACCTTGTAGAAATTTTATTCTCATTATCAAAAAGTCAAGGCATACTCCACCTTTTAGTACAAAAAAAAAAAAAATTCTAAAAAAAAATCGACACTGATCATCATTGGACAAACCACTATAATTGGAGCACGATTGCACTTGATATAACCGGACAATGATTTTTTTTCGAAACGATAGAGAATATTATATAAATCAAAATGCACAAATGTGCGAATAAAATTACAAAGCTCTCAACAGGAGAAAAAAAAAACCAAAAGTTGAATAAAATGGGAGGACAGGTCTAAAGACCGCCTAGAATCTCGATTCTTGCAACGCTAGAAACCAAAATCAAGACTCACGAGACAACTAACACAATAAATACATGTGATATTTAGATAAATACATATAATATTTAGATACTTTTAAACATACTTAGATAATTTTTTAAACATTCTTTAGATACATATAATCTTTTAAACATATTTAGATAATTAATATTGTTAACATTTACATATTTACATATAAACGAAAATCAATATTGTTAATACATATAATTTTTAGATACTTTTAAACATATTTAGATAATTTTTTTACACATTCTTTAGATTAAGGAGGTATATCTATATAAAAATATGTTAAATTTAAGTATTTAGACATGTTTTCCTTATAAAATAGTTTAGAAAAATTTTAGGTGACTTCACACATATTTCAAGCGTAATATAGAATATTTTAGATAGTTTTTACATATGTGATATAAGATTTTCTTAGGTATTTTTAATATCTAAGAATAAGATTTATAAAGAATTTTCGGGCAATATACTAAATCTTAGATAAAAAATCTCATTTTATTTGTTATATAATATTTCGGTTTACATTAATTTTGATTTGTATGTGTAAAATTGATAAATAAATAACAAAATAGCGTACGAAATCATTTGTACAATACAAATTTAAAAAAAAAAATTGAAATCTTTTGTACTCAACTTTTAAATAAATTTATATCATAATTTGTCGTAGTTCTCTCACATCATGTCAATATTTATTTTATATATACGACGACAAATCATCATTTCAATATTTATTTTATATATTCTATGTAAATTTTCTCATCTATCTAAAACGTCCGCATGGTAGTATTTCATATTTTTCTATTAATATTCAAATATATCAAAACTTCGCAAATTTTACTTGACAACGAAAGTGTTCAATAATTTATAGTTTTTTTTTTACTTCCATTTATTTTTGTTACATATATATAAATTATATTAGTTTTAATATTTCACACGTTAAAGATTTCAGGAAAATATATCATCCCGTGCATCGCACGGGTTGCGCGCTAGTTATATATCTTATTTATCATGAATTTATGTCTAAAATAAATAAATTCATTAACTAAAAAAATATTAAAATTTCGTGTTTATAGACGTGTAAAACTATTACATAAAATTCCACTTTACAATCAAGCCATTTTCAAACTTGCTTAAACTATAAATCATTAAATATAATAATTGTATCCAAAATAGTATCATATACGATGCTCACACATTTATTTTGTTTATTGAGATCAAATGAAAATCATGACTTAATAACTGTATCCGAAATAATATCATATACGATGCTCACACATTTATTTTTTTTATTGAGATCAAATGAAAATCATGACTTAATGCTGAAAATATGGAAACTATTCGTTGCATTGATTGCAAATTTGCAATTAGGTCGATGACCTAGATTATTTATTAATACAATCATTACATTGTTTGCCTATAAAAAACCGACCTAATATTTTAATTGATATGGTTTTGGGCGTAAGAATATGTTGTCTATATTTAGAATATAATAAGACCTTTCCTATTAGCAAATTATATATGAAAAAATAAATATTTTTTATTTACTCAAAGACGAATTAATACTAATTAATTAGAAACTTAACTTAACTCGAATTATTGATTGATTAATATAGTTCAATAAGATATTAATATTAACTTCATAGTACTTAAATTACACAAATTTAAAAAGTTATTCATTCTAATTGATTTGACTAATTATATTATCATCACATGGTTGCATATATTAATTTAAATAATCATAATCACTGATATGACACACTTAAAATATATAATAAAATAACCAAAATAATTATGTCTGAAATGTGCTAAATTAATGAATAATAAAAAATATTAATAAAATATACTAAAATGTAGTCCACTAAACCTAAAAAAAGTAAGTCTCCATTAGATATATCATTTGTATTGAATATAATGTTTAAGAATTAAAATAATATATTAACAATATCATTATTTGATGGCCAGGTGAAATTAGTAATTTTATATTTAACATTTGAAATATTTATATACATTAAAAAACTATTCTAACTTTTCAAAAAACATATTTTTTCATATACTATTTTTCAAATAAAAATAAGTAAATAAAATAATATTTCAATTATCATACTTGAAATTAGAACATTTCGTAATCATTTAAATATATATTATATCTAAATATTTTAGTTGTATTAACTAACTCATTATATATGGTACAAACGGAGATTAGATGAGAAAATCTGCATGGCACAGCCAGAACTATTCAAAATTCTTGTAAAAGAGAATTAGGTCTGTAAGTTGAATAAATCGTTGTACGGATTAAAGCAAACTCCGAGACAGTGGTACAAACGATTTGATAAGTTTATGGTTGAGCAGAAGTACACACGAAGAAGACATGATCATTGTGTGTATCTACGCAAGCTGCAAGACGAATATTTCATTTACTTACTTTTGTATGTGGATGATATATTGCTTGCATCAAAGAGCCAAGTGAAGATTGATCATATGAAGGCTCAGTTGAATCAAGAGTTTGAGATGAAAGACTTGAGGGGAAGCTAAGAAAAACTTGGGATGGAGATAAGCAATGACAAAATGAAAGGCAAGTTTTGTTTGACTCAGAAGCAATATCTGAATAAGGTACTGTAGCGTTTCGGCATAAAGATGAGACGAAGCCTGTAAGTACACCACTAGCCCGTCACATTAAGCTACGCACCCAATTATCGCCAAACCGTGATGAAGAACGAGAGTACATTGCTAGAGTCCCCTATGCAAATGCAGTTGGCAGTTTGATGTATGCGATGGTGTGTATAAAGTCTGACATTTCACAAGTAGTTGGTGTTGTTAGCAGGTATATGCATGACCCTAGTAAAGTTCATTGGTAAGTTGTGAAATGATTTCTACGGTACATTCATAATAATGTAGACGTTGGTTCAGTTTATGTGCAGGATGAATTTGGTCAGTGTGTAGTTGGATATTGTGATTCTGACTACGCGGGTGATTTGGATAAGTTAAGATCAACGACTAGATATTTGTTCACTTTTGCAAAAGCTCAAGTCAGTTGGAAGTCTACTTTACAGTCAATAATTGCTTTGTCTAGAACAGACACATAGTATATGGCGGTTACTGAAGCTGTGAAAGAGACTATTTAGCTTCAAAGTTTGCTTAAAGACTTGGGAGTTGGTCAAAAGCACGTCTTAGTGCATTATGATAGTTAGAGCACTATTCACTTAGCGAAAAATCAAGTATTTCATTGAAGAACGAAATATATTGATGTTCACTATCACTTTGTGCGGGAAATTCTGGAAGATGGAACTATTGTGTTGAAAAAGATCAAGACGACGGAGAATCCTGCAGATATGATGACCAAGGTAGTAACAGCAGTCAAGTTTGAACATTGTTTAGACTTGACTAACATTTTGCATATTTGAGTTGGCGTCGACAGGCGCATTTGGAGGCACCGCTAG